TTCGTATTGTGACAACTTACCTATTGAACAAACCTTTTCGTAACTAATTTTTATGAAATATGGATTATTTAATGGATTAGCCCAAGGATGACTCTTGGATTGACCCACAAAATCTACCTAAAACTTTTTATAGGTAGGTCAAAGGTGGAATTATATAAATGGTCTGCTCACACTACTGGTTTGAGTTAGGGCTGATCCATAGAAACCCTAACTCAATGAGTACTCCTACCAACCCAACCCATTCCGCATCTCTGATCCACATAGATCAGCACAGTTTTGTATTAATTTCAGATATGACATTTGTCTGAAGTCAAATGAGATTTTTCTATTCGAAAACCGTAGAATATTAATCAAAAAAGACGCAAACAGGATCTCAAGGATAGGATTTTGAGCAAAAGTACTTTACTAGATATGAAGTTTCAAGTCGAAAATATCGTCATCTGAAAGAGCACATTCAGCTACATGCTTGGTAAAGAAATCTAACCACTGCATCTGTAGAAACTCTAATTTCGTCAGGCTGAAAAATATTATGAGAGATAATATGACCCAAACGGGACGGTATATGCCAGTTATCGATAGAAAAAATCAAATATTCAACAGGTTCTTATATTCTCTGATAGAGAAAAAGATTCTGCATAAAATGAACCTATTTTCGACGAAATAGAACCGTATTTTAATGAAATTTCTGGCCAAAGCTAGGTTTTAAGGCTTTCAGGGAGTGTTTCCGATCTTATTATCTGAGTACTTTTGAAAACAAATAAAATATTTGTAATCAGCGAGCTAAGTACTATTGAACTATAAAGACTTGTAATAGAACAGCGACAAAAATTTTTTTTCAATACCTGAGGGGGACCCTAGGTGTGAAAAATTGGATTGTGATAAAGTAGAAAATAAAATTATGAAAAATAGTCAGGGTTCAATGCTGATCCTCAAGGTAATAAAATTAGGTTCAGCTTTTTCGAGACTCTCGGTCCATAATTCGACGCAACTTTTGACGTATTGAAATGTAATTAATGCGTGATAATGAACTAATAAATCAATAATAATCAACTACATGCTTTACTTTATCTTATTCTACTTCATTTTACTTTTTCGGTAAAGCAAAAGATACTTCACTTTACTTCAATTCACTTTACTTTACTTTACTTTATTCTACTTTACTTTTCGGGTAAAGTAGACCTACTTTACTTTATCGAATAAAGTAAAGTAAAGTAAAGTAACTCTACTTTACTTTACTTGATAAAGTAAAGATAGAGTACCACCCCTAGTGTGGGTGAGTGTGAGTGTGGGTGTGGGTGTGGGTATGGGTGCGGTCCTTTCCTTCACCAACACTCACACACCCCACACCCACACCGCCCACACCCACACCGCCCACACCCACAGCCACTCACACCTCACACACCCAAAAAGAATGAAAGAAAATTCTACTTCATTCAACACTTCGCTATATTTACTTTTGTTGAGAGTAAGTGATAGCTACAACTGCAAAATATTGACTTTCACTCTCTCTTTTCTCCTCTTTCATCTCATCCTCTTCTGTTCCAATGGTTTTTTTAGTCGTTCCCTCTCCTTCTTTGTTTTTTAATGATACTTCCTAGGACGAGGGTGTGGGTGTGAGGTACGTGAGTGCGGGTCTCATCTCCACCTACATCCACATCCACCCTGTTATTCTCAATTGCTAAAGTCTGTAGTTGAGGTATTTGTAATGAGGAGAGGGTGGGGAAAGGAAAGCCGCAAAACTTCGACTTAAAACTTACACTCGCTATTTTCTTCGAAAATATATGTGAGGTCTACAAAAAACAGTTTTTTACTCATTTTTTACATATAAAGGTTAGATAATGTAAGACTGACCGGATGAAAGTTCTTATTTAGTATAAATATATTCTGAAAATTCTAAAAGTCAATCATTTGACTCATTAATATTACAATAACAAGTTAAATTAACATGTGAAATTGATGTACCTGAATCATCAGCTAAATTTAATGCTATAGATAGAACAAATTCATCAATAATATTACAATAGGAAATGGGTGTGGGTGTAGATGAAAGAATCTTATTACCCACATTCACACCCTTCTTTCTCCATATTGATTTACTATTAGTGCATCGTGCCACATATACACTATAAAATTCTAAATAGTTCTGGAGTTCTAAAGAAAAAAGTCGTTAAATCCATATTGATTTATATTGAGAATTCTCATTTTCAACGAGCTTTATTTTGATGTAAAATTTATTCTCAATCCCATTATGTAGAAAAACATTTTTACCAGTCATACTATATTATCTACGATGGTCATTTATTTTTAATTCTATTTCATTTATATATATAAACTGGTTTAGAATAAGAACTTTTCATCTGAGATAACATGGCATGAAATACAAAAATTATTTATTTTGAAATTATTAGTTACGTATGACAATTAACTTCTATTTGTCGAATATGTGAAATACGTAATTGATAATATAACAATAAACTTTTTTTTTATACTGAAACATGCTAGCTTCTCATCACTTCGTACTGATGTTTGATTGCAATTTAATACTAGCACCGGATGGCAGATAAATAGAGTGCAAGTATCATAGTATCAAATTTCAGTTGTAGATAATAACGATTTTTGTTTTTGCGACTTATTTTACCTACCTACGTCTTCTATTTCAATTCCGTTTGAGTGCCGTTACTTTTTGGTAACAGGATCAAATTCATTTTTTTTTCTAAAAGCACTATCCTCAATGTTTGGTCTTTTGGTTTTATTTCCCTATTTTTTAACATCAGTTTATGGTCACGGCTATCTGTTTGAACCGGTAGCTCGTAGTTCAGCTTGGCTTGTTGATTCATCATTTCGACAATGCTGTACTTGGCCAAATCATATGGAAATGTTTTGTGGAGGAATGGGACATCAGTGGAATGTCAATGGTTTGTTTTTTTTTGTTTTGCTATAATCATACAAAGACTTCATTTGCTATATTTTTGTTAAGATGGAAAATGTAGCATTTGTGGTGAATCATATGATAAAAAAGTGAAATTATTTGAAAAAGGTGGAGCAATGTATAAAGGTACCATTGTTAAAATATACACTCAAGGACAACAAATCGATGTAAAAGTCATGGTAAGTTAATGTTAAAATGAATAATTACCGAAAAAAATTTATTTCAATTATATTACTAATAGTTAACAGCTAATCATAAAGGTTATTTTGAATTCCGTCTATGTAATTTGGATGCTAGTCCATCAACTGATGCTACTCAAGAATGTCTCGATCGTCATCAATTAATAATTGCTCATACTAATTCAACTAAATTTCGCGATGTTAGTAAATATGGTTCAGAAATGATTACTGTTCGTGTACAACTTCCACCAGATGTTGCTTGTCGACATTGTGTTTTTCAATGGAAATATACAGCAGGAAATAGTTGGGGTACAGATCAAATTACTGGTCAGTCGGGTGCTGGTTTAGGACGAGAAAAAGAAACATTTATGGGTTGTTCTGATATTGCTATTTTATCAGATGGTTCGCCTACTGATCCACCTATAGTTATAATTCCTTCAACGTAAATCTATTAACTTTTTCTTCGTTCCAATTATGATATTTATATAGATCTACGATTACAACAAGATCAACAACAACGAAAGCTAGTACTACTACATCAACAAATCACTGGACACGGCCATCAACGACAAATCAATGGTCAGCATCATCAACAACAAGTTCAACAATCAAATGGACATGGCCATCCTGGTCAAGTCATGGATCGTCACCATCAACAACAGGTTCAACAAACCAATGGACATGGCCATCCTGGTCAAGTCATGAGTCATCACCATCAACAACAACTACTCGTCGTCCACTTGGTTTAACAACATGGTCATCGGATTTTTTTGAATATCAAATAGGTGATGAAGTAATGTATGATGGTATAAAATATCGATGTGTTGCTCCACATCGATCATTTCCAGGTGCCGAACCAGGTATCCTTACTTGGGCATGGTGGGAACCTGTTCAAGAAGAAGAAGAAGAAAAGAGTACTGAAAAATAAATGTTGTGATTTAAAATTGTTGCTAGATCGAATTGATTTTGAAAATAAATGAATAAAAAACAAGATTGAATCGATACAGATAGAACATATATAGACGAAAGAAAAACAAAAAGACCACATAGATTGACTAAATTCTTACAGTGGTTATTGTTCCATTCATACCAAATATTTTGTCATCGATGTGTGTTACTTATCGAACATCATACTTTGAAACTGAAGTTTATGTTTATCCTAGTTTATGCAAAAACAATTCTGAGGATAATATAACTATTTTTCAAGTTAAAAAATTACATGCTTAGATGAAATGATGCTTTTCATATTAGTCAAGAGTTTAAATTAAAAATATATCAAGAGGAGATCACTCTCGTAATTTGATATAGGCAACAAAGAAATGATAATTTTTAATTCGTTGGAATGGAAAATCGAAAATCTAATTTAATAAGTTTAAGCAAGCCTCTGAATGACAGTAGAATAAGTACTTGTTCTATTAAATTATTTTAGTTGAACGGTTTGTACACATGTCTTCTACTCTTATGTTCTCGTGTTCGAATCCATGCCTTGATTTTATTAAAATGTATGTAACTTATAGTTTCAAAGGTCTATGAAAAAATGTAAACGAGTGCATGAATTATATTTACAACTCAAGGCATATGAAGCAATTGACGGTTTTCAGTTTTTTTCCATCTAGAATATACGACACCATAGTTTGAAAAACGTTACGGAATTTTTTAGAAAAACAATCATTCCACAGCGTCTATTTTAGCAGATGTGAAACGCGTCAAATCGGTCAGTATTAACGTGTTTCGCAATTATGGAAAAACGGGTTTTGAGAATGCGTTTTTATCGCAGAAATTTACGCCATGGGTAGTAATTCAAGTTTTATTTATTTATCACTTTTCATTTATTTAATGATCATACTATTTTATTAATCATTCGGTATGTTTTTTATTTATCAATTAAATACATGTCTAAATTAATTTATCGTCTTATCGGTAGATCAACTACAAACAATACGTTTATTATTTGTCAACATGAAACTACTTTCACTTATCATCATTACTTTATTTGTTCCTTTTATGAATGCTATTCGCCATCATAAGAGCATGAGTGAAGATCACCATCTAGACTCTTGCCAAATCGGACAAGCATGTGATCCGAATCAATATAGATGATGGATTAATACAACGGTGTCGGATGATTTTCCTTTACCATCTTCAAAAGACCTATCAGCATATTTATATGCACCTGGTTGTTCGTCTCGTTATGAATTAGCCAATACTTGATTCATTAGTTAGGTAGCTGATTATTGAATTTACTGATGGAACTGTTGGTAATATCTCTAGTTCGAGTGCTGCAACTAATTCAAACAGTAATACTACAACTGGTCACGCTATTATCATAGACTCGAATCCATTGAATTTAACAATCATATCGCCAGGTATTTTCACATGTAATACAGGACCATATAATGGTCGTTATTCATCAGCTAATCTTCATGATAATGGAGTATGGTATCAATCAACATATGGTCTTTTAGAAAATGATGGACCATGCCAGAATTGGTGTGTTCAAAGACCATTTATATCATTTCGTTATACCATAGATTGAGATCATACATGCTATGGTTATAATTTACATCCAGAAAATGATACAGATAATTTATTTAATCAATCAAGTTATAATAGACAGAAAATCAAATATGGTGCATTACATTTTGTTGATTTCGGTAAAAATCAACAATGACGTCCGGATAGTTATGTATATTCAATTGGATATGGTTCGAATTCATCATTTCTAGAATCATTAAATACTTCATTTCCAATAGAATCATGGAATAAAGGAGATCAAATATATATATGTCGCATACGTCCATCAATTCAAACTATAAATGATTTTGATTAATTTGAGTTTTGGAATGGAATAACATATATTCGTAAACCAGACGATATTGATAAAGCACAACCATTATTTACATTTACAAATAAGACTGGTACAGTAACAGTATCATATATACCAGCATTAGAAAAATGTTTAATGGTTATTAGTATAGCCTCCTATCCAGGTATTTGTTCAATGGTCAAAGAATTTGATATTTATATATTAGAATCAAATTACATAGAAGATTCATGACAACTTGTTGTAAAACCGAAATTTACGAAACGATAAATCAAAAAAGGATTGATTCAACAAGTAACTGTCATTTACTCACATCTAGATTGAATAACTAGTATTCTAAAGAATGTTTAAAACATATATGTCCGTTATATTTATCGACATTAATATCTCATTAACGCATAACTTTTATTAAAAAAAGAATTTCTAGCGCTGCAATGTGTGATTTTTTTAAACAGGATTTGAAGCGACAAAAATTAATTGTTAAAAACAAAAAAAGATACTTTATGTTTCAATGTATAGAGGATCTATTGCAGCAACATTTAAATCAATGTCATAAGTCCATCTACCAGGTATAGGATCTTAAGAAACTTTAAAAAGTACAGTGTGTAACAAAGTTATAGCCCTTCTCCCTCCCCTAGCAAATGCAGACAAAAAACGACCTTTTTATGTTCAAAATACGTAAATAACATTGATATGTTTGTGGAATGGTCAAACACTACGTAGTTGACAATCTCTGTGTGAAACTGTTAGTTATGTTCATCGATCATTCATGTACAGATGGAGTTAATAAAACTTTAATGCTAGGTAATAATTCAAATTTCTTACTCATACTTATTCTGTTCGCTTCTATCTTACACATGAAAGGTTTATTAAAGGAAAAAAGAAAACATCATGATACCGTTGATGACGGAGCTTTAAATTTTTGTTAAAACTACAGAAAAATATATATATATGTAAGGGAATAAAATACTGGCGTCTAGAATTACGAGCTCGTCTTGCCATTGGGTTGTTTGTATCACTCATTATCGTGGTACGTATTTAAAGAACCTCAAATACTCACCCAAACATTTTCCTTCACGCTGATAGAAACCGATGATGCCTATCAACTTTCTTCCACAATCGCCCACCACTTCGATGTACACAATAGCCTCATGTTAATAGTTTATATCATTTGATAAGATCATTTCAATAACAAATCAAACGGCTGATATTATGCTAACTTTAACATATCCACGAGCATACTCTAACATTTTGTCTGGCTTTTCTTTTCATTTTAGTTCGGAACACGAAATGAAAAGCTAGATTCATGTTTGATATCGAAAAACAGATTAATCCAATATTTTATTTTATTCAGAAATAGTCATATAAAATACAACCAAATGCTATACTCAATAGAGCAAAGAATAATCCATCGAATGACAATCTACTCAACTTATTTTGAATCGGTTTTACTGTTTCATCGGATGTTATATTTAGTCCCCAATAATCTGTTGTTGAATTACCGAACAATTGATACAGTGTTTCATTAACAACTGGATTGGTATAAAACCAATCGATTCCAAACAAGTTTTCTTGTAAACTGCAATTGCAATCGATTGTTTTCAAACCTAAATTCAATTCTTGCTGATACAAAAATTGAACTATAATCTGTTCAGTACATGTTGTTGATCCAACTACAGCATTTTTTAGGTACGATTGATAATTAGTAACATGCGTTAGACCTTTCATTTCGATAAATTTTGTTTTAATATGTTCTAATTGAAATAATAATTGAGTTTGTTGTGCACCATACAGCGGTGTATTGTAATCTAGGTCGCCATTCAACATCAATACACCACCTTCACGTGATCGAAATATTTCTGGATTGACTTGAAAATTACCCCAATAACGTGGATATTTTGAATACAAAATATCTTGAAATACGGATGGTAAGGAATAATTAGTTTTTGATATTTATGTTTCACGACAAATTGGTATTGGACCAATTGGTGCGAATGAAAATTCGTTTGTGACATTGACATTGATGCAAAACTCATTGAAAAATCTCGAATTCGTTTTAACGCTTTCGTTTAAAGTGTAGCCAACAAAATCACTCCACACTGTTACAATACTTACAGTCATGCCATTAACTAGATGCATATCGGGTGGATCGATCAGTTGTGGAGATGAGGATTGTTGTGCCATTGCAATTAAAATTGGCAATGCACGAGATAAAACTCTTTGATCTTCACTCGAACAACGATATATACGAGCAATGAGAATAATAGCAATAGGTCGGGTAGTAATCAGTTCGATTCCTTGACTGGCAATAAGAGAAAATAACATCCAACTATTCAATTTCAAGTTTGTTGTACAAAGAGGATTAGTCATGTTTGTCAAAAAGAGCATTTGCAATTTGAATGTTACGCCTACAATATCTTGATCATTGCCAGTGACAAGACTGAAGGCTTTCGAACATTGAATATCATCTTGACATTTTGATAGATACATAAAAAATCGATTGCTTATTGATTTTATTTGATTTTCAAACATATCTCCCCTTTTTATTGGCAAGACCGCATCGAGTATTATTCCGTTGATTTGTTGCACTTGAGAATTTATTGATTGAATTGATAAATAATATTGAATGATAGCTGTACCTATAGTAGAAAAGAAAACAAAATTATTCTGCATCGAAAGCAGTTCATAGTAGCTAGGTGGTGGAGGTAAAAATTTTGAAATTCACATACAAATATCACTAGTGTACCGAACTTTTTCATTTCTAAAGATTTCGTACCCTTGGAACCTTCCAGAAGTGCTCTGTGATATGCGTCGAAGCTTCATTTAGAGTAGTTGGAGTATGCCAATTAGTCGAGGACTCGAAAATAAGGTTAAAAATTTCGATTGATTTTGATCCGTCGAAATGGACCCTTCGAGTGGTCATGAACGATTAATCAACCATACCAATCGCCCCGCCCTCTACCCATCGGAAAATGGCAGGGTGTGGATGTGGATGTGGATGTGAGTGTGAGTGTGATTCTTCTTTTTACCCAGAGCAACCCTCACACTCACACCCACACCCTCAACTTTTGACATTGTGTATTTCTTTCAATGATAACTTACGAAGCGAAAACAAGTTTTATGTGTTGACTGTTTGTGAAAAATCTCATATTGCTTATCTATAATAAATATTCTACATGTGGCAAGAAACAAAAAATATACATCCAACTTATTCCCTTTTCTGAAAGAAAGGGTTTTCCAGACAAAAATGTTTATCTATCACAGAGGTACTATTTCCTAATTTTCAAATGGGTCACCATTGGCATACTTTACTCCAAAACGTGTCGAAATTTATGCTTCACTTTCTGCTAGAAAAGATAAATACATTGATGAAAGCAAGAGAACGAAAAACAGTGCAACGTGTCACCTTTATCTCAATGGCAGAATGCAAAAAAACTATTACAATTTTGTCGTCTACACACACACAGAGCGGGAGTAGTGTACAAGGTTATCAGTCATTATTCCTTGCAATTGTCATGGAACGACTTTATAAATTATTGAAACCGCTAGCTAATATCTATATTATTCTACTTTTATGGTCTCTAACCATTGTCGATTTCTACCTTATCTTGAAGCCGTTGAGAGATTATGCGACTTCAAGGTCATTGGCTGCAACACCAATCATCCTCGACATGATGAATTATTACACTCCTGATGAAGGATACCAAGTTCTGACGAATCTGGGCGAAGATGGACGCAGTGCATATCGCTTAGCTAATTATGGGGATTTTGTTCTACCATTTTTAATCTTCTTGTCACTGAGTTTATCGAACATGGCTTTGGGACAAGGACATCACCATGTGATTACTCCATTCGTCTATATGATCTCAGACTATTTCGAGAATTTGGCAGAAAAATATGTATTGGAAATTTATCCAGAACGAAACGATTTCGTTATGAAATTGGCTTGTTACATCGGCCTCATCAAGATTTCGGCCGTTTATATAGCAGTACTGATTTTGGCATTCAACACACTGCATTGGTTTCGGAAGCGACAAAATCGATCATCATCGAAACAACGAGAACGAAAAGCACAATAATTTTTTTTTGTATTCCAATGCAAAGTCATTTAATAAAATAGTTTGACGATTAAAGTAAGAGATGATGTCGTTTCTCAGATGAGGGTGGGTGTGAGTGTGGGTGTGGGAGTGTGATTGTGGTTGCTCCGTACACCCACACCCATACCCATACCCACATGAACATTCGGACCGACAAGCAGCCGCAACCACATCCACCACTTTTTACGTTTTAGGTTTACAATTGGAAGTGATCGATCGATATACGATTCAAGCAGACGATTTTCAATCGCTGCATTTACTGAAGTAGGCATGTCGAGATCGAAGAGGATTTTGCTTTTTAAATTGTGATATTTGTTTTCATTTTTTGTTCGTCAGCACATTTCTGTTGATTGTTTTGTCCTCAAAATGTTCCACTCTTAATCAAGTTTCAATTTCTCGTGCGACGCAGGTTAGAAGAATGACCTGAAAATGAATTTGTTTTTGAATTTCTCTTTGCCTGTTAATATCGGTCTAGTGATGATAAGAAAAGATATAAAAAACAAACTTCACATAGTAGGTTAGATCGTGAAAAAAGTAGTGATTCCATTCTGAATAGCAAGATTATTAGTGAAGTTCAAATCTTACTTTCATGTTTGAGTTATTTTGAAACGTTATATTTTTTATGGAAAGCGTCTAAATGAGTATGATGCATAGACAAAAGCGAACTTTAGATTATGATGAAGTCTTGTTGAGTTCAAAGATTGTTATTTCTTCTTGATCAAGTCGTAACTTTTGTTAGAACATCGATTTGATTTTATGTTCATTATTGATGTGGACGTCGAAATGTTCGCCACCATTGGATTGGATAGCATACTAAGAATCGTAAAGCCACCGCCAGTCCACCATAAAGACCAATTAGGGTTATAACAACATAAAAAATACTATACCGTTCAGTATATATGTATAAACAGAACTGGGGTGCACATTCAATATAATATTTGGTGTAATTGATTGAATTTTGCCACTGTTCAATCATGAGCTCTTCAGCTAACAATTGAACGGTCGTATTGGGTAAAAAATGGCTATTATTTATCGATGAATTCAGAGCTCTGAAATAATAACCATTGAAGGACAGCAATGACTGAATCATATCAACACACGATTGATTATATAAACATTCGAGTGTCGATGGTAAAAAGGATGAAACTGGATAACATCCAATTCGAATACCTAAAATAGTTTGTTTGTTGATCATTGCTGGTTGATTACACGAGATATCATTACCACATGAAGAATTCCCGTACAAAATTGGTTCAGTAAAAATAGCTGCGTATTCTTATGAGTCATTAGTAATGATAAAACGCCAATTTGTTTGAAGTACTGATTGAATTCCATTCCCATGATTTAAATATCGAATTAGTTCAAGTGTATGTAGAAACGTTTTCGGGATCAATAACTGAAATTGTTGGATAATCGATGAAACTTCCAGATAAATTTGTTTGATGGGTACAACATAAGCACTGACGAAGATATTATCATTGAATGTTGAAACAGCTGTCATACAGGTTGAATATGCAGTTGAACAAAGTGACCGAAGAAATTGAGAGTGAGAAAGAGCAACGGATCGATAATCATGTGGATCATATGCGGTAATATTACCCATGAAACCAATGAGCCATTCATCCGATGTAAACGAACTTGAACATACTTGATGAAAAATGGGTTTAATCGAAATAAATGAACCATCTCAAATAGAAATAATAAAAAGAAAGAAAATTAAAACAAGTAAAGAAGTAGGTTTTATTTTTTTGCACAAATTTTTCTGTTTGATAGATGTTTAAATTACTCATTTATTTAACTTACATGTAATACCGATTTGTGAACAAGGATATTGAAGTGTATCAGAATATTGAATTTGTAGTTGTTCATAATTATTCTGTGATGGATTCCATAATTTGATGCTTTTCGTTTCTAACATCAATGACGTGTATACTGTCAACACACAGAAACAGATTATTACGAGAAATATATAAATTCGCGTAATGATTCGTTCGGTCTGTAACTTGTGTGCATCATTTCTTGATGATCGACTTGAAAATAAATTCATAGATACTAGCTTAACGAACAGATGTTGACTTAATGATATATTCGGATTGATATTACCTAATGACAAGACAAAATATGTGGATAAAAAAAAAGCGAATTAGACATGTACAAAACAACTCATTCGATCTTTGTTCAATTGTAGAGACAGATATACGATGATTCCGATGGTAATATCGAACTCCTTTGACCAGAAATAAGGCAAGAAAGAGAAAAGCAACTATAAGACCATCATAGAGTCCAAAAATCATTACAATTGCATGAAGAAAATTGTATCGTTCTATCATCGTGTAAGTACATGTTTGAGGTGCACAAATCAAAAAATAATTTGAATAATTAGTTAAAGAGTTCCATTGTTCGATCATAAGTTCACTAACAATTGTTTCCATTGTTGCATTCAATTCAACACGGATTTTGTTTGAATTTAGTACGGATACATTAATTGAATCCGTTAATTGAATGAATAATTTTATTATATCAATGCATGTCGTATCATAGAAACATTCTAATGATGATTAAACAATGGCTTCTAAATTGAAACAACCAAAATAGAATGATGGAATTCGATAGGCAATATTCGATGGATCTGGATCGATATACATTGAAATATCTGAAGTCATATTATGATTAAAAAAAAAACCATTTGTGAGACACATTCGATGAATATATACAAGAACAATATATTGATTGACTGAAATTTAATGTGTCTAATATCGTAAATAGTCTATCAAATCGAGTTGTTATATTGAAAAGATTAGCAGATTCAGAACGATATACATACGTGTTCGAATTGACACGTAAAACAGCTATCAAACGATCGACATGTGTTATTGTTCGAATTAACTGTAGGGCTTGAAAAACAATAACTTGTGTTTGTGTTTGAAATTGATGTAATAAAGAATTGGCTTCAGTTTGAAAGAGTTGTGGAGAAAGTGCATTACTAGTTACAAATTGTCTTTCAACAAATAATTGCCAATTATCATTTACAGTCTGAATAGACATTTGACATAATGTGTTAATTAGTACAAATTGTGGTTGACTTGCCAAACGAAAATCATTAGATGGATATATATATCCCGATAAAACATCACCCCAAGTTGCCGAAAACCATGGAATGGTAACAAATTGACCTGAACATATTTGATGATACACGGGTGATATTGAAATCAATCGATCGTAGGAAATAGTTATTGTCGAACATGGACAATACAGACTTGATGAATCCATTGAATTTAAATATTCGAATTTTTTTTGAGAAATATTGTTGAATGTGACAGCCATAGTTTGTAATGTAAGTGAAATAGTAGTAATTAAAATGAATGAGATAATACGAACGAGAATAACATAAATACCAGATGCTATTCATTCTGTATGAATTTGATATTCAGTTTTGATTGAAGCCTTATTTTCAAAAATATTAAATCAACAATTTGACATTTACACCAGAAAATAGTTTGTTTGAAAGTCAATATAGAGGCTACAAAAAAATAGCATCTATCACATAAATATTAATCATATTTTTCAATTTTTTTTCCGATCAAAATCAATCATCATTGTTTCCTTTTTTTTGTGGAACTCAGTATAAAATAGTGAATGTAAGTTTCAATTTGAACTTGCGAGACTCCTATTTATGGATACTGTTCCTTTCAAATGTGAAACACGATGGAGCGATGGTTATTAAGCATAAGAAGATTTTAGCACACTAGCTCTTTGAGCTTGTGAGAAACTGTCGTTTGTCGTTTTCTATCTGGATCTAAAAACCCTATCGAGAAGTGCATCTCGTTATCTATCGGAAAGATGACCAGGCTTATTCTATTCGTAAGTAGAAATTAGACAAAATCTAAACACGTCAGGTACATCGACACTGAAATATATAATTTTCTTTTACAAATGCTTCTAAATTTATGTCATGTACTATGACAGAATTTTAAAGATCATATCATCTTGCCGTTAACGTCAGAGCTGATCCGATCGAGAAGCGAGTGTGTGATCGACAATTCTGGAGAATTTTTGGTTTCTCTCCAGCGATTCTTCGAAAATTTTCTTGCATTCTATCAGTTTTTTATGATGACTTCACCAATCTCGACGCCCTCAGGCCAGCTTGGTATGACACTAGAGAATTTTCAACGTTTTCTCTGTTACAGTCTGTGGGGTTGACTTTCTAGCTATATATTTCAAAATTCATAAGCAATCATGTTTCACAATAGACAAGCTCGAATGAGAGTTTCCTAATTTAATTTATTTTCTTCTCTAAGAAGATTGAAAACTAATTTATCCAAAAAATACTCGTGTTTCATCGAGCGAATTTATTATTTTGATTTTGATTTTTTTAATTTTTCTTCTTCTTCTTCTTTCTTAGTAATATGGAAGAAGGCACATTCCTTTTGACTATCGGATCTCGTTTGAGCTTTTGAAAATCCAAAAAAGCCAGGAAAAGTAAAAAAAATCTAGAAATTTAAAGCCCACTGCAATAAATAAAAAGAGTTCCATTCAAATAACTTTCATTTCCATTCCTTGGAATTGAAAATGTGAAATGCGATGAAGAAACTTCATCACAACTGTCATTGCCCATTGAGAGATCAAAAATCAACATGTCAAAAACTTCTCTAAGACATCCAGATCTGTGGGATAGACTGAAACAGTTCGCTTTTCTCACTATATATTTAAACACTCGTTAAGAAAAGTGTTTCATAAAAGATACTTCAAAATTTAACTGAAAAAAGATATAGTATCGAACATCATAGCAATCATATTAAATGTTGGCAAAAGAGTGATGAAAGCAATGTGCTTTTTTATATGAATATAACTTCGATATTGCATCTTTCTACAAAGAGCGTCAGAATTTATACTTAAAAGATTGAGCTTACTAACCATTATTAACATTATTCGTGAGTTCATTTGATGAATTTGGTTGTTCACTTCTATTTTGACGACGACGTCGACAATAATCTCGAATCTTTTTAACCGTAACAGGTATTATGAGACGCCAGGCAGCAGTTAGTTCACCATACAAACTAATGAGAGTCGTAATAACGAACAAAATATTGTAGCGTTTGGAGAACAAATATGAACGTGTTTTTGGTGCGCATTGAATATAGTACTGTGCGTAGTTAACAGAAGTTTGCCATTTTTCTATCATCAACTCGTTGACTAACGATTGAATAGTTGTATTAGGCACGAAACGACTGACGTTCATTGTGGAATCCAGAGCTATTACACGAACACTAGTGGTGGGAAAAAAAGATCGAATAATGTCGATACATGATTGATTGAAGAAGACCTTCAATAACAAAACAAGCTGCGAGAAGATCCGTACAACGAGCATTTGGTTGTACATATTCAGCAACAAACCCATGAGTATCAAACGCATAGAGATCAAAAAAATCCATCTGATGCGAACAATTCGCTTGATAACCACACCAACACTTATTTATATAATTACCAATGTCTTCATTAAATGATCCCCACCAACCATCAGTATCCCGAAGAGTATTTGTCATTGGTGATAATATACATGGTTGTTGATTTATATGCACAATTGGTAATAATTAGTTGCCCTCTGTGATATCACGTACAAATAAGAGAGTACGTAGGAATTTACTTGGCATTGTTAATTGAAATTGCGCAATAAGTACTTGAATTTGGGCAGAGACGGTTTTCGACGAAAGAACATTTGGACTAATAAATGTGCCTGCTTGTTCGAAAACATCAAGTTCATCTTGTATATTGGCTTGAATAATTTGACAAAGTGTACGTATGAATTGAAAAAGAGAAGTATTGGTGGCACGAAAATCAAGTTGCATATAATAAGCCCGAAAATAATCATTTATATATAAAATCCATTGATCATCGATAAATATACTTGAGCATAATTGATGATAAACACGTAAAATTGAAATAAATTGTCCGTAAGGTATCGAAATTGATGAACAAGGACGTTGAAGAGTATATGAATAGATAGATAGTAATTGTTCGAATGTAGCTTGAGATGGATTCTAGGCAAGTATATTTTTCGTTTGTAACGTAAATGTTGTAGTGATTATAATAGCAAAAAGTGAAATTGTAAGTAATACAATGTAAATTTTTGCTGATAAACGTTCTGCATTTAATTCATCTATGTTATTTTCAGAATATTCACTTTCAAACAAGTTGAGTTCGATAAATTTCTGCTTGAATTGCCGAAAAAGAGATAATACCACGTTCATTTGTTGAATTGTTTGCTCCAATGTTGACAATATCGATTGAATGGATAGAATTTCTAAAGATATCTAAATATGCTAGATTCTGGGCAAACGAATGCAGCAAAAGAAATTTCTGGATCTTGATAAGCTATTTTTTTTTCTTGAAGAGAGTCTAAATCCGAAAGTTTCATTCTCAAGTTAGAAGATAGAGAATTTTGTGTAAATTTTATCGATATATTAATTTCAAATTTTGTCTTTTTCTTGTAGTGTAACAGAGAGAGAAGATAGTAGAAAAATATCATTTGCTTTTTACTATTTAGGTCAGTTCAAAAGTAGTGGCGGAGGTATATCAATTCCTTATAGGAAGCTCTGAGAAACTTTTTTTCTATACAGTATGATAGAGAAAAGAAAGCTCTATTTTTCTATGCTATTTGATTGTACTTAAGCTAATATCATAATAATAAATTTTCGATAAGATTTGTTCCGGTTATGATGTGTGCTGGTTGTACTAGATAATATTTTGTGTAAACAAACGACATTTTCCTGTGAGTGTCTACACTGTCTTGAAACATGAGTCGAAACTCTAATAGATTTTAATTTAGTTTCGTTTAAAAAGATACTTTTTTAATTAATGCTGGGTATAAAACGAAAAAAATAAGTTATCATTTGAGCGATTCATATTAAATATAAATCTTTTTTTTCCAATCTAAGTTTATACTGTTCGACAACAACGAAAAAGAAAACGCATTAATACATGTATCTATGCAAATTTATATGCTCAGAAATAAAAAGAAAATCAAAAGTCTCGCTGTCAAATAATAGAAGGCTTCAAAGTTTTTGTTATATGAGATAAACAAACTTTTTATTTAAAACAAAATGATATAGTGCAATATCTCATTCTTTTTTTTAAAAATATTCGAAGTACATAATATACAGATAATATAATCTTTTTTCGTGTATACATCATAGAAAGTTAAAATAAAAAATCAGCTATTCAAATCTGTTTAAGAGGGAAAATAGCTTTTCATATTGAATGATAATGAACGGGCAAAATATTATCCAAAAGGCTCTCCTTGTTCTTGTCAGAAAAATGCCTCGTACTTAATCCTTTTTGAAAGTATGAAAGATGTATTATTCGCATATGGGAAAATCTTCAGTTTATAGGCTCAGTTAAATTATGTGAAGTTTTATTGGATTTTCATCAGACCATAAGATTTCAATTAATCAATTTTTTCTTATTTTACTGTTACTTTTTCACAAAACAAAAAAATTAATATTAAAAAAAGTATTTTTCGAATATTGTTAAATGATGCATGTGTGGCTTATGTTTTTTGCTTCAAGTAGAGATGGGCATAATTAAAAGTGTTTCACGTCAAGCGAGAGATATGTATGACTTATTCGGATTTCATTTTGTCATAATAGCTGATAATGTTATATTTGAATATTCACCGAATGCTATTGAAATTCAATGAAAGATAATGAAAACTAGCGTGTGCATTTAACTCAATAAACATATAACTATCTTCTTCAAATATATACGTAAATCATAAATGTCACTACAAACACCAAACCCACAACTATTTCTTAATGAACTCAACGATGAGCAGGTGAAACAATTTAAAGCAGCTGTGTACGGGGCTGGTGATTATCGTGATTTAGTGAATCATCGTTATATTTATGGACCGATCAGTATAGCTGAACTTGGAATGATGACAAGTATTCGACCACAACACGGTGAGTTATATTTTGACTGAATAATCAAATGTACACATAGAGTCTTTTAGGTGCTCATTTTGTTAAATGAATGCGATGCTACATTCAAGAACATCATATGAATCAACCACCATCTGGGCATCCTCAAATTACTTTACATTTAAATGGCAACACCTGGTCATCAGTACAAGCTGCTTTTGATAAGTTTTGTGTTTCCAAATCCATTGATATCTTGAAAATCCATGCTCATCATATTGTACTTCGTTCTTTAGGTCCTCTTCCGCTGTTTTCGTCCTACAAAAATCAACAACAAGGTCAGTACACATTCGTTTCTGTTAGTTCCTTCACTGGCATTTACCTTTTTTTTTAGCATCTCACCTTTGTGATACAATCGGCTGCTTGTCAGCAGAACATCTCTGCATCGAATCAGGTGAAACAAATAGACAACGACAGAGTTGCCAAGGTATCACAATGCACATTCATAAAAATACTGCTGGTGAATCTCTTATAATTCAGGTTAAGCCTTGTGTACATGGTATGCAACATAAACAAGCCAACGGCGACTTCTTCAAATACAGCTGCAGGAAGATCCGATAAATAGTGGCAAATGACAATGACTTTAAATAATGTTTTCTTTCTTTTCATATACGTCTGTATTAATTTTTTCTTTCCTGTGGGTGTGGGTGTAGATGTGTCTTTTGTCTATCCACACCCACCCACACCTACACCCCTCACCCATACCCACACCCACACCCACCCACACATCCACACCCACACCCATTTTGTATCCATTTTGTATCAGCACTATTATTCGGAATCCACAGTGGTGGTAACATAAATCAGAGATTCTTAGTGAAAGTGTATAGTACTTGTTTTTTATTGATCAGTATTGAGCCTACTCGAACAGAAATGAACTTCTTTTTTAAGAAAACAATCCGATTTGCTCTTCGAAATGCAATAAACAGGAACAAGCGCACCAAAACAGTTAAGGGTATTTCCATGGGATCTCAACCACACTGTACAAAAAAGATC